AAAAAAAAAAAAAAAAAAAAAAAAAAAAAAAAAAAAAAAAACACCTCCTGTATGTGGTGAATTTCTAATTTTTTCCTTGAGACTGAGTTTGTACATCTCACACATGACATCAGGTAATAACTGCTTTATTTCTCTTCCATGATTGGAAGGAAGTCTGATGTTTTGCCTATTTGCACTTGTCCATCCAGGCTACTGATTCATATAGTTCCTTTGGGAAACAAACAGTGGAGGAGGCACAATTGTTTTGGTATAAGTTTTTGGGTATGGAGAGTTTTTTGGGTTCAGAACTGCACAAAGTAACTATAATTTATTTTTGTTATGAACTTACAAATCCATTTTCAGCAACATATGTTGGCAATCCACTGGCAAGACACCAGTGATCTGCTGGAGGTGACCTTTAGAGAGAGAATAAAATTAAATGATTTCTACAGATACAGGCATGTTGTTCTAGCCCAGCAATTAATCTAATTATCACACAGTTGCAGCCTGCTGGTGAATACTCACGGAATGACTTTGATTTCTTCTTTTCCATGTAAAATATAGTCGATAATCTTATAGAAGTTAACTTCCTAAATTTAAAAAAAAAAAAAAAAAGTGGGTGACCTGTACAACCTCAATGACAAGATTAAGATTCATTAAAAGAAAAAAAGATCCTCACTCTTCCATCAGGCGTCTTGGGGCCTTTGTAGGGCTCTGCCTCCCCCAGCCTGATCGGCCATTCATCATAAAACTCCTGGGAAAGGGACACGCAGGCATTAGCAGAAAGTAAAGTGCATCTCTAGTCATAGCTAACATGACATCTGTGGGCAGCAGTTTTATTTTTCTTCTTCCATAGCTGTATTTTGCCACATCTCAGACTATACTAAGAAAATGTTAGGTGTATTCCAAGCAAGGAATGTTAGCCAATAAATTGAAGGTTGCTGGGATCCTTATCCCTGGAAGGCTGCACACCTTCACTTTTTTAACAAGTAGATAATCAGAGGGTGTGTCTCTTGTACCTCACATGGCTTTATATGGAAAAAAAAAAAAAAAAAGGTTTTAGAATCAACTTTTGTATTTATTTTAGACATGCTTTGCCTTGCTTATTTTTCAGCAGGGCAATATGTAGGGTTAGAAAGTATGGTATCTTTACATCTTGGGGAGGTGCACTAAAAATACCAAGAACAGATGAATTAAGTAATCAGAAGGATGAATTTTATAACTTAGTAGTTAACCTATTTCTAGGAAACAGGTAAAAATGTTACCTTCTCTTTAGTCATATCCAGCAGCCCAACAGAGTACCTTTCACAATTTAGATACATTCGAATAGTGTACAGTGCTTTGTGAAATTGTCGCTCTATATCTGTCAGCTCTTCAAATACTTTGTTGGCAGACCACAAAAGCATCTATTACAACAAAAGAGAAAGAAAGTAAATGTTTCCAAAACGTAAAATGCATTCTGACAGAAAATATAACCGTATGCAGCTTAGACATTCCAAAGTATGATAATAAAGTGTATTTATATTTTAAAACAAAGTAGTTAATGCATGGCATTCTTATTTCAATAAGCTTGAGGGAATGTAAGATAATAATGATTTTGGCCAAATAAAGTTTAATTGTTAACAAATTCTTTTTTACCTGACTTCGTCGAGTTTCAATATTGTAGAGGTACGATGTATGATGATTTCTTAAAACCAAAGATATAAAATTGAGGTATTTGTTAAAGACCTAAAGATGACAAAGAACAAAACCAAGGCAAAGTGTGAAACCAAGATGCAGGTTCACTCAAACTACTTGTTAAAATAACAGTTGTGCTCTTGTCTAGTGTTTGGAGTTATTACCTCTTCATCCTCTTTAGAGAATGCGGTGTCATTTTTTTTGTTGAGTGCCATCACAACAGCCAGCACCTCTTTGCCCTGTGTAATTGGGGTTGCCAACATATTGATTGTTGTATAACCAGTTTGTTTGTCCATATAATCAGAAAAATGGTTATTCTGTAGGGGGGAAAGAAAACCAAAAGCACAAATGAAACCACCACAGTCAATTACTATTCAAGGACAAATGATATTTGCTCTTTATGTTCACAGTGTTATAAGCACACTGCAGCGGATTCATAGTCCCAAAGAGCATGATGACTATTTAACCCCACCTTGCAAACATACATATACCCAACTAACTGGAGCAATGATGATGAATACAGCTCCATGCGGCAAGTTCTATGCAGGGTTTTATTAGAATGATGATAAATTTAAGAAAATAAAAATTTGAGAAGTGTTAGAATAAAAGAATAGTATACTCTTATGTCTACTTGATAGCTTTTGCACAGGCTTGAATGCAAGATAATTATTTTGCAGCTATGTTAATATTTCATTTCTATAGTAATATGAATATTTCCTGTACATACTCAAATATGTCTCTTGAAATCAGTCTTGACGGCCTGTGCCTGAAAACGCTTCTGTCAGAGAGGTATTCACAATAGCAGTGCCGCTGGCTGAGCTTTGTCTTTTGCTTCCTGCTTGACTACCTCCCATTTCTGAAGTTCCTAGTTCAACTGGGTGGTTTCTAGCCCAGTGTGTCCTCTTGGGATAGAATGGGAAGGGATCCAGGATCACTTCTGCTGTGTGATCTTGTGGGACTGAGACCATGCAACACATGTTTTTGGTGAGAGGAGGTAATTTGAGAGGAATTTAGGGGTGCTACAGATCTAGCCAGCATGCTTGAAATGTGTAGCTGATACAGGCTTTTTGTTGTTTTCTACGCCTTAACACCTGTTTTATCTCACTGCATCTTACTAACATGACTAAGCATAAAATTATAAACTTTTTACCAATGCATTTTCAATATAGTGTTCTATGAGCTAAATTTACATCCCATAATCATCAGTGGCATTTATAAAATCAGAAGTCACTGTTAGGAAAATGATATGATTACAGCTCTCTGAAAAAGGCAAATCAGACCATCCTTTCTAAAACTAACTTAGTTTCCTCATTATGGCTGTTAGAAATATGAAGTGAACATATAAAATTAAAATCCATCTTGCTTAATAAAATGGTATCATACCTGCTTTGGAATTTTAGCTATGCAACTTAGTTCTTGTCTATAATAAGGTAAAATAAATATAAATGAAGTAAAGTGTAATTATTGTCAGAATGTAAACAATATAGAAAGAAAAAAAAAAGGAAGAAATAAATGAAGCCAGGCTCTGGGACTTCATGACTTATCAGTCAGGCACTGATTTTTGTGGTGGAAAAGTAGTTCTAAGAGGTAAACTACATGAGTAGGTAATATTTCAAAATTACACAGATTGTCCTTGTTTGTTTCTGAGAAGTCCTTATGGCCTTCACTGGCTAGAAGGAATTATCTTTTGGCATTCTTTTCTCATGGTTCTGCTTTCAGATGGGTTCCCTCCTTCTCTTTT